TTAGGGCATGGATATCTTTGGAAGCTCATTGTTTAGGCAACCACATATTTCTATAGATTTTCAAAATCTTAGCTGAGCCTGCTGATGGAATCCATTACCATTAGAGTGAGCTTAGTAGCAAATGGTTATAGCCCAGCAAGCAGCCGGCAGTGTGTACACTGAAGATGGCTAATGAGACCATAAAATATATGTAGAATCTAAAAACATGAACATGATAGAACAAAAGACAGGGAGGAAGTAAACGGAGTGAGCATTTTCTATGTTTTTTGCATGCTGGGAAATGATCATTGTTCATTGCACATTAACATGGTAAGGATGCATGTCATCTTTAAGGAGCTATAAAAGAATGTGTAACACATAATCTAATAAGAAGAAATAACGATAGGGACTCCTGGGTGGCTCAGGTGGTTGAGTGTCCAACTCCTGATTTCAGATGAATTCAGGTGCTGCTCAGCACGGAGTCTGCTTGAGATTCTCTCTCTCTCTCTTACTGTGCCCCTCCACCTGCTCACTCACGCTCGAGCTCTCTCTCTCTCTCGCTCACTCTCTCTCTGTAAATAAATAAATAAAATCTTTTTTCATACTCAAAATGAAGGCAAAAGAGAAGAGCATAAGGAACATAGGAAAGGAAGGACAAATAAAAATCAAGTAAGATGATAGATCTAATCATGAATATGTCAACAATTATAGTAAATATAAATAGACAATTCCACTTTAGAGACAAAGATTAGTGGAGTGCTGCATTTCCCAAATCATCAGCTGATGTGCCCTGGGAACCTCCGGCATCTCAGTGGAGACCCATGGGCTATTATAAATTTTTGGTGGAAAAACAATTCTGGGTTTTTCTCAGATACTGTGCAACCACTGGCTCCCAATAGGTCTTGGCTACATTAGATTGCAGTAGACTTCTTTTATTTTTTTTTTTTTAACTAAGTTCCTCTTGGTGACAACAAATCTTTGCAAAACTGGGCTTTTAGCAGTGGCTGTGATAAAAGTATCAAAGACAATTTTTGTAGAAAAGAAATGAGGTGGTGGATTACAATTCAATTCTATGGTTTGAGAAGTTGAGCAGTGCTCAGCATCCCACTGAGGAATGGTTGACAGGGTCGCCTCAGCTGGTGAAGTGGCTGATTTAGGTCAGGTCATGATTTCAGGTTCCTGGGATCAAGGCCTGCATTGGGCTCTGCGCTCAGCAGGGAGTCTGCTTGAGATTCTCTCTCCCTCAGCCCCCACCCCCCCACTCATGCATGCTTGCTCCCTCTCTCTTTCTTGCTCTCTCTCAAAATAAATAAATAAATAAATAAATAAATAAAGCTTTAGAACAAAATGAAAAGCTCATCTCTATGTTCACTAGTAAGAGATGCAAACATTTCAACATTATTAAGGTGTTCTGTTTCATTGATCGCATCTATGAAGCACACTGGAGAAAAAGAGGAAGTAAATTGAAGTTTCTCCATTAACTTGGATGTCACTATGGTCTTGGCCTCCAGGTCAGTGCAAAGCCCCGGAACACCTTCCATTTGCCAAGCTGGCAAATGCTACGGACGAGTACGAGTTTCCCATCGGGACGTTTCTGAAGTATGAGTGCCGCCCTGGTTACTATGGGAGAGGGTTCTTTATCACCTGCCTATCCAACTCGGTCTGGTCAAGTGCCAAAAACAATTGTCAGCGTAAGTACCTCTGGGCTGAGAACTCCGTGTCAATCAAACATCCGTAGAGCTGAATCAATTGTTCAGATTTTGGAACTGAGACACGTACGATTGTTAAATTTGCCTCAGGTAGAGTACATGTGACAGTTATTCTTTCTGTCACATCTTCCTACTGCTCCGACTTACTGGCACCTCCATTACAAGGTCACTTCATGAGAAATGACCTTCACAAGGCACAATGCAGGGAAAAGCTCCATTCAGTAGGGGATTCCCATTGTCACCATTGAAACTACGTCACCAATGACTCAGAAAAGGGAAGAAAATTGTAGGTGGGGAGAGAATCCCGACTTGAGATCTCTGATTTAAGCTGGTTGGATGACAAAATAACCACTTCGGTAAAAGGTAAAGTTTGCATTTTTCTGGGGTGCACAACACAGGGAAAAGATCAATGAGGAGGGGAGGTCTTTTTTTGGAAGTGGAGCTTAGTAGGTGGCTGACTCTCAGGCAGTCTTGTTAGTTTCTCTGAATTGGCAAAATCTGCGGAACCACAAATACTTTTCAGTAAACTCCATCCAGGTTGGGACCTTATGTACTTACTGAGAGAAGTTTGGCTTGTTCTATACCCAATCCCCCAATTCTGCTTCTCCCCCACAGGGAGATCATGTGGAACTCCTCCAGAACCCGCCAATGGCAAAATGACCGTACACGGAGACGCCCGGTTTGGATCAACTGTTAATTACGCCTGTAATGAAGGGTGAGTTAGCAGCAGCATCATTTGGGTTGACAGTTCCAGAACTGTAGCACCAATCTCTAAACAAGAGTCTTAGAAAGTCTTCCTGTCCATTCAAACCATAGCAATAAGATTTCTAAGTAGACATGGTGGCTTGAATCCAGGTATTAAACTACATTCGCAAAGACTAAACAAATATTTGAAAAATAGGAAGCACCCGTATCTGTGCTAGAAACTTGGGGGTGGGGAGAAAAGATGTCTATGGCACAGCAAATTCATGCGCCTAGAACCAAGAGAAACGTTCACTAAATGGGAAGGACCAGGTCTCTAAAGAAGCAAATGGAACAACCATTAGTGGCTCTGCGTACATATTCACACCCCAAAGCAACAAGAGCTGGAGATGGTGGACTCAGAAGTGGGAAAGAATGACTTGTTTAGGATGATGGAGCCCTGAGGTGCAGAGGCAAATCTTGATTGTTATAGCCCCTCTCCAGAAATGTGCACGGTGCAGAAATTTGCTGTGGCTTATCCTTAAAGGAGATAATCAATTATCTGCTTTGCCTTATATCTTAACTTTTGCTTTAAAAAAAAAAAACTTATTCATTGCTTACTTAAAAGACATATAATAGAACATAAGTGATCATTAAAATCAGGAAGAAATAAAGTGAACTTCAGGGTATATGCTATCCACCTTAGGAAACATTGCTAGAACCTTAGACGTCTCCACTGTGCCTTTCCCAGTTCCCATTCCTCCACCTCCAGAATCTCTCTGGAAATGTATAGATGTATAGATCAATAGAACAGAATTGAGAACGCAGAAGCAACCCCACACACTTATGGTCAACTCCTTTTCAGCAAGGGTGCCAGGACAATCCAATGGTGAAAGAATAGTCTTTTCAACAACTGGTCTTGGGGCAACTAAACAACCAAATATAAACCCACAAAGTAGGAGGAATGAGTATCATGAATCATGTTAACAGATTAAGCCTGAAATATTTGAGTAACTCCACTTGGTCTAGAAGTATAGTAAATATTATCTCTGCATTCCTACCTTTGTTTTATAATATCTTCTTTCACATGTTTTCCTTTTATTCTCATAGGAATGATAGGCTTAATAATGTTCCATTCTCAACCTGTCCTTGTCTGGCTTTACAACCAATTTATCTATATAAAATGAGCAGAGCGTGTTTCTTTTCAAAGCAGGCTGGATCCGTCAATCTTTTTTTCCAATATCTTCTGGTATTTCTGTGTTCTTTTAAATATATTTGAGGCTATGTAATTAGGTGCATGCACATTGAATACTTCCAAGAGCATTAAAACTTATTATAGTGGGTTGCTCCTTCTTTCTAATAATGCTTTTCAGTTAGTCTATTTGTGTGTACACTTATACTCCTATTATATATTTAATATAACTACATTGCTTTTTGATTATTTACCCACTCTCTTTAAATCTTTTTGACTTGTTACTCTCCTGTGTCATTCTATGTTAGGTGAGTCTCTGATAAATAATCAGTAGTTAGATTTCCTTCATCCAGTTTGATAATGTCTACCTTTTAAGGAAGGAGTTTAATCCATTTGCTTTTAATGTAACTACTAATATTTAAAATTAATGCCTACTGCCTGATTTTGTGTTTCTATTTATGCCAATTTTATGTTTTCACACTTCCTCAACTTTTGTGTCCATTAGGTTTTATATTTTTTTTCCATTGTGTCCTTCACTAGCTTGGAAAATAGAGGCTCTATTTCTATTTATTTAGAAGTGCCCCTGGAAATTTTAACTTGTATACTTGGAAAATGCAAAAGTTAATCCCTACATTTATCTCCCTGCTTGCAACACATGGATGTAAGAAAATTTCAACAAATTTGCATTTGCAAATATAGTCAATAGCACATTGAATTTATGTGATCCCATTCACTTATGAATTTGTGTAATCAATATAGAAAGCTAGAAGTTAAGGGAAAAATGTAAAGGGCTAGCATTCTAGTCCAATGACTCAATCTTGACCTGAAAAAGATGGACAAAAAAAATTCAGATGGATCTTAATGGATTTAACCCAGTAGGATAAAAATTTTTAAGATAGATTGAACATTCAAAAATCAATCAACATGATCAACTCTATAAACAGGCTGAAGAAGAAAAATATATGCCCCTAGCAATTGACAAAAAATGCAGTTGGCAAAATCCAGTGTCAATTAGCCTTGAACAAGTCTGAAATCAAGGTGTCAGCAGGTGGGTTCCTACTGGGCGCTCAGAGGAAGAATCCATTTCGTGCTTTTCTCCTAGCTTCTGGTGCTTGTCAGCTGTCCTTGGCATCATGAGCTATAAACACATCATTCCTACCTCTGCGTCTGTTCTCACATGGCTTTTCCTCTGTCTGTGTCAACGTTTTCTGTCTGTCTCCTTGTCCAGATTTCCTTCTTCTTCTGAGGACAACGGTGATTGCATTAGGGCCCATGTTAATCCAGTATGACCTCATCTTAACTCTCTTATATCTGCAAGACCGTGTTTCCAAAAAAAGTCAGATTCTAAGGTTTCAGGACAGGAATTTGGAGGCACACGAACAGACATTTCACTGAAGAGAGTTTATCGATGGAAATTAAGACCAGGAAAAGATATTCAACTTCATTAGCCCTTAGGAAAATACAAATGAAAACAACAGTGAAACAATACTACACATATATCTGAGTGGCAGAAATACAAACTAGTGCAAACAGCAGATGCTAGCATGGTTGTAGAGGAACTGGATTCCTCGTTCATTGCTGATAGGAACAGAAACTGGTAAACCCTCCCTGGATAACATAAATGAGCTATCAAGCCATGGAAAGCCAGGAGGAAACTTAATTGCATTTTACTAGGTGAAAGAATCCAATCTGAACAGGCTCAATACTGTATAATTCCAGGGAAGTGGCATTCTAGAAAAGAAAATATGGAGTAAAAAGATCCGTAGTAGCCAAGGGGTAAGAGGAGGGAGAGACGAATAGGCAGATCTCCGAAGATGTTTAGGGCAGTGAAACTACTCTGCGTCATTCTGTAAGGGTGTTTCCATGTCAATATGTGTTTGTCTAGAGCCACAGACTATACAACGCCAAGACTGAACCCTGCTGTAAACCATGGACTACAGGGGATAATGATGTGTCAGTGTAGGTTCATCAGTTGCAAGCCACTGTACCAGTCTGGTGGGGGATGTGGATAATGTGGGAAGGTATGCATGTGTAGGGAAAGGGAGTATATGGGAAATCCCCTGTATCCTCTGGCCAATATTACCGTGAACCCAGAATAGCTCTTAAATATAGTCTGTATAAAATCTGAATACTTGTAAGCACACTCACATACCCACAAATTAGTACAAACAGAACTGAGGAAGTCCAAATAAAATTGGTGATCATACCTGTGTCAGAATCCTAGTTTTAATATTTTACTACAGTTTTGCAAGACATTATCCATGGGAGAAATTTACATTTTCCAAGTCTTATGGCACACTGTGAACAGTTTGTGGCATACTAAGTGAGAATTGCTGCCTTTAACATTTTACATAGGAAATCCGTGTTCAACTTGTTTTGTTCTGCTTGGATTTCCTTTGGTTCTAGTTTGAAGAATCTTAAACATGTTAGGCTTAAATTAAAATGTAGCTCAAAGTAATTAAGAGCAGAGGACCCATTTAGATTAGATATCCGAATAAAGATGTAAAATTTGGAAAAGTGGTAGTATACTATCACAAATTGTGATATATATACTATGTCATATAATATGTATACATAGTATATGTATACATATATGTACATGTATATACACATACAAAGTATATACCATGTCATACACTATGACAAACGGAAATTGTCCTTCTGAATTCTCCAGGATACACTCTCTTGTAAGTAGCCACTTCAGTAGGAAAATGAACAGGGAAAATAACATTCATTCTTCTTTCCCTCTAGATACCGACTTATTGGTAAGACCTCTATTGCATGCGTCATCTCAGGCAAGACTGTCACCTGGGATGACGATCCACCTGTTTGTGAGAGTGAGTTGAAACCGTCCTTGTTCTTACCTTTTCCAATAGATTCTAAGTTTCCCCCTGAAGTTATACAAATCTTAAGTGGATTCCTTTTGTGCATTCTATCCCTCAAAACCTATGGGGTTTCCGGCAACTGTTTCCTTATGTTTTTTCCTTATGTCGTGCCTTTTCTGAATCTGGGGACTTAATGCATAAAAGCCTTCAAACCTTAGTTTTCCTTCAGTTAATTCAGAATGACGTTGATTGTGCCACCCCCAGTGTAACAGTCATTCTGCTTGGCAAATTAGTCAAGATTTTTCTAAAGTGATGCTCTCCAAGGCTGGTGAAGCTGTGGATCAATCAACACTCGCACACACGTGGAGGTCCACAAAACCTCTTGAGAGGCACCAGGTGCCATAAGCCTCAAAATGGACATAGACTTTGACCCACTTCTTAGAATTTATACTTGGGAGATAAATACAGACTTTTCCCAGGAATTCACTTTACACTTCTCATTGCTTCATTCATTATAATAGCAAAAATGTTAAGGTAACCAAAATGTTTCCGGCTATGCTTTGGAAGGTATAGGAAGGAGAGAGTCTTGTTAAAAATGACTATCGAGAATTCTTTAAGAAACATGAAATTGAGCGACGCAGAATTAGAAGAGATACATCCAGGGGCACTTGAGAGACTCAGTCTGTTAGATGTCTGACTCTCGGTCTCAACTGAGGTCTTGAGCTCAAGGTTGTGAGTTTGAGCCCTATCCTGGACACCACACTTGGCTTGGAGCCTACTTACAAAAGAAGAGGAGGAGCTAGAGGAGGAAGAAGATGAAGAGAAGGAAGAGGAAGAAGAAGAAGGAAGAGGAGGTTAGAAGGAGGAGGATTAAAAAGGAGAAGAAGAGGAAGAGGAGAAGAAGAAGAAGACAAAGAAGAAGGAGAAGGAGGAGAAGGAGAAGAAGGAGGAGAGAAAGAGGAGGAGGAGAAGGAGAAGAAAAAGAAGAGGAGGAGGAAGAAGGAGGAGGAGGAGGAGGAGGAGGAGGAGTGGGGAGGGACAGGAGGAGGAGGTGAAGAGGAAGAGGAAGAAGAGGAACTACATCCATACACTGGAATGTTATTCAGCTAAAAATAAGAAAAACAAAGAACAAAGAAACACAATGTCATGGAGAAACAATTAATGATATATAAACAAGTAAATGATACGCTTTTATGTGAAAAAAATCAGATGACAAAACAGTACTCTGGCTAGATCTCTTTATTTAATTGTAATACACCTATATCTATTCCTAGATTTTCATCTTTATTTCTAATTCTTTAACCTTCCTTATAGTAATCTTTGCTGAAAGGCTTCAAGCCTCCTTGGTGAAGGTGGGACGAAACTTATGTATATGTTCTGGCTGTGTAGCAGCATGCTTTCGCAAGAAGATAAAAAAAAAAAATTTTTAAAAGAAAACAAAGAAGAAGAAGAAGATCCTATCTTCTGTTCGTTTGAGCTGCTTTGAGTCTGTCCATAGGCTCCCAAGTCTGGGAAATGGTTGATGAATAACCATTACTTTTTTTTTTTTTTCAGTGATTCAATTAGAGGTAGATTTTTTCTGCTTGTAGCCATCAAAGAATACTTAACTGCACTCTTCATCTATTTCAGTTTTAGAGGATCCACAACAATTAGCCAGGGACAGAGATCTCTGCAGGCAAGTCACTCTGATCTCTGTTTCAGTTGCCTCTGGCTATTAAGTGCTGCCACTTGGCTCCTGCCAGCCTGAGGTCCTTTGGTCTGCACTGAATTCAGGAAACCCAGATCAATAACACAGCTCCCAATGTCACCAAGGTCATTCCCAGCCTACAGAGAATAGCCATCAGAGAGTCTGTCAAGAATACGGAAAATCGGGACGCCTGGGTGGCTCAATTGGTTGAGCAGCTGCCTTCGGCTCAGGTCATGATCCCAGCGTCCTGGGATCGAGTCCCACATCGGGCTCCTTGCTTGGCGGGGAGCCTGCTTCTCCCTCTGCCTCTGCCTGCCATTCTGTCTGCCTGTGCTCGCTCTCTCTCCCTCTCTCTCTGACAAATAAATAAAATTTAAAAAAAAAAAAAAAAGAATACGGAAAATTCCCCAGGAATGTATTTCTCAAAGCCTTGGGTGAAAGGATAAAAGGTCTCTCTTTGAACATCCCACCCACCAGGCACATAGTTAAGGGTGGACGAACAGGGCTCACCTAAGCCCACTCTGGCATTCCTAAAGCCCTAAGCCATAGGATTTCTTCCTCAGGACTACACTAAGAAAGGTCCTGTATTTCAGCTTCATTTAATGTAGGTCAACCTCTAACACAGTGAATTCACAGTCTTAATTCTTTTTTTTGGGGGGGGGATACCTTCTTGCCGGTCCTAATTGGTGCCCCCCTTCTTTCCCCCCCAACCACCACCCCAACTCCAGTTCCAGGTCTTTCAGGACTTAAATCAGGTTAAAGAACCACAATTATGGTGAAGTATTAAGGGTAGGTCCTGAGGAAGATCAGCAGTCCCTGAAATTGGAGTTGCCAGATTTAGTAAACAAAAAGACAAGATAGCCAGTTAAACTTGAATTTCAGCACAGCAACACATATTTTTGTATTCTAAATATGTGCCTTGCAGTATTTGGGATAGACTTATATTTAGAACTAGCTTTCATTGTTTTTCTGAAATTCAGATCTAACTGGACATCTGTGTTCTTCTGGCAACCCTACCAGGGCAGCTACTCAGGACAGGTCATTACAGGTTCTTTGAGCAAAGGGAGGCTTACCTCCTCACACAGGGGAGGAGGGGCTGCTGCTTCTAGCAAAGGAGGCTCAGCAGAATTTCCAGGTACAAGGTATTCAGCATCCTTAGAATCTACCCATGTATCTCCATCTCAAATTTTATTTATATGTTTAAGATTTTATTTCTTTTTTGACAGAGTTTGTGACAGCAAGAGAGGGAACACAAGCAGGCAGGGGGAGTGGGAAAGGGAGAAGCAGTCTTCCTGCCCAGCAAACAGCCCCGTGCAAGACTCCATCCCAGGACCTGGGATTCTAACCTGAGCCAAAGGCAGACATTTAAGGACTAAGCTACCCAGGCACCCCTCTCCATCTCCATTTTTAAAGTCCTCCTTTTCCCAATCAATATTGAGACTTTAACATAAGAGAGCCTGTTAAATTGTGAAGTCAATTTACCTTGGAATCCAGCCACAGGATTAGACGTTGGATTTGTTCTTCAGAAATCTAGGCTCTGTTATTACGCAGTGCAAGTTTCTTTTCGGGCAGATAATAGAAGCGTTCAGAGGCAGACCCTGAGCAGGAATTTAAAGCATTTTCTTTCTGTTAAAGGCTTCAATGCACTTAGAAGTAACCAACCAATAAACTCTTTTCTTCCTGCCCTCCCTCCTCCTATCCCTGCCTCCCTTCCTTTCACTCCCTCCCTATTTCTTTCATATACTGGCTAGGACCACCACTAAAATTTTTGATATGGTTGGGGATACAGGGTATCCTGCTTTTGTTCCCCATCTCAAAGTGAAAGTTCCAAATATTTCACCATTAATGTAGTATTTGCTCTAGGCTTTTTGTAGATCCCCATTTTCAGGGAAAGGAAATTCCCTAATATTCTTCATGGCTAAGAATTTTTTGTCATTAAGTCATGTTGAAGTTTATCAAGCACTATGGCTACATACCCGGAAATAATCATATTGTTTCTCCATTACTCTCTTAATGGAATGAATTGTTTTCATGACCTTTTTTTATGTTATGTTAATCACCATACATACTTCATTAGTTTTTGATGTAGTGTTCCATGATTCATTATTTGCATATAACACCAGTGCTCATTTCAATACATGCCCACCTTAATACCCATCACCAGCCTAACCTATGCCCCTCATGCCCCCCTTCCCTCTGAAACCCTCGGTTTGTTTCCCGGAGTCCATAGTTTCTCATGGTTCATCTGCCCCTCTGATTCTCCTCCCTTCAGTTTTCCCTTCTTTCTCCTAATGTCCTCTGTGCTAGTCCTTATGCTCCACAAATAAGTGAAACAATGTAACAATTGTGTTTCTCTGCTGGACTGATTTCACTTAGCATAATCCCCTCCAGCTCCATCCATGTCGATGCAATATTCATCATTTCTGATGGCTGAGTAATAATCCTTTGTGTGTATGAACCCCATCTTTATCCACTCATCTGTTGACGGGCATCTCAGCTCCTTCCAGAATTTGACTATTGTGGACATTGCTCCCAGGAACATTGGGGTGCATGTGACCCTTCTTTTCACTACATCTGTATCTTTGGGGTAAACACCCAGTAGTGCAATTTCTGGATCATAGGGTAGCTCTATTTTTAGCTTTTTGAAGAACCTCCATAGTGTTTTCCAAAGTGGCTATGCCAGCTTGCTTTCCCACCAAGAGTGTAACTCAACCATTCTCTTACACCATACACAAAGATAAACTCAAAATGGATGAAAGACCTCAATGTGAGACAGGAATCTATCAAAATCCTAGAGGAGAACATAGGCAGTAACCTCTTCGACATCGGGCCACAGCAACTTCTTCCGAAACGCGTCTCCAAAGGCAAGGGGAAAAAAAAGCAAAAATGAACTTTTGGGACTTTGTCAAGATAAAAAGCTTCCGCACAGCAAAGGAAATGGTCAACAAAACTAAGAGGCAACCCACGGAATGGGAGAAGATATTTGCAAAGGACATTACAGATAAAGGGCTGATATGCAAGATCTATAAAGAACTTCTCAAACTCAAACCCAAAAAACAAATAACCAAATCAGAAAATGGGCAGAAGACATAAACAGACACTTCTCCAGAGAAGACATACCAATGGCTAACAGACGCACGACAAAATGTTCAACATCATTAGCCATCAGGACAATTCAAATGAAAAGCACATTGAGATAGATGCCACCTTACACCAGTCAGAATGGTCAAAATTGACAAGGCAAGAAACAACAAATGTTGGAGAGCATGTGGAGAAAGGTGAACCCTCTTACACTGTTGGTGGGAATGTTTTCATTACTTTGTGAAAAGCAAGCTGATTTTGAATTCTAATCGTACCTTCTTGGCATAAAACGACTTGGTCATAAGATTTTATAATTCTTTTATGTTGTTCAATATACGTAATATATTTTAGATGTTTTTCAGATATAACTTATGTATCATAAGACTTACTCTTTTCAAGTATAAATTTAATGATTTTTATTGTATTCATGCAGCTGTGAGA